GTGCATGCATGCACGCTGGCCAGCTGACAGGGCAGCGCCTTGCATGCCCTGAGAAATGGCTCCGCGTGCCACCTGTGGCACGCATGCCATAGGTTCGCCATCACTGCTCTAGGACAATAATAATGGCTGTTTCATTTACCAAGGTTTGAGATTGTTGGGCAAGGTAAAATATAAAACAATGGTTATGGAATTTCAAAGCAGTCTTTGCATTAATAGAGCTTGATCTAACTTTTTAATTTTTAAACAAACACTCTAACTAACATATACTATTGTTTTAAGTCATATATTGCTGTAGAGTAGATCAGAGCAGAAAGAATGAAAGCAGCTGAAATCCGTAAATTCAAAATTACCTTAAACCAGTGGTGAAATTCAATTTTTACTATTGGTTCTTTGAGCATGGCTTGGTGGGCGAAGGATACTGCAAAATCTCCATTCCCACCCCACTCTGGGAAAAGCCAGAAGTGGTATTTGCCGGTTCTTCAAACTACTCAAAATTTCCACTACCGGTTCTCCAGAACCTTTCAGAACCTGCTAAATTTCACCCCTGCCTTAAACCTGATACATTCTGAAGCTCAAATCAATGGCTGACATCACCATGAATTAAAATGTTATGGTAGCAAGTGGAAGAGTATTTTCAGATTGAGGATGCTACTCGAAAATACAAAATTTTCTATAGTTTTCCATTGCTTCAAGAATTCCAAGTTTAATTCTATGCTTGATCTATTGTTTTGCTTAATACAGCTCATGGACATAAACAGCATGTGATAATGCTAAGCTATGTTATAACCTCTGTTATTTGCAATTATATGGTTTTATTTATTTATTATTTGTACAATTCATTAGCCGCCCATCCTACCATAGGGTAACTGGGTGGCTTACGATATTAAAAAGGTTTACTATACAAGCAATCTAATTTGTTCACTACATATTGAGATGTGTGAATTCTTTATTCTCCTTTGTTTTGCACAGTTGAGACGACAGCCGGGGTATCATGTACATTTCCAGGCATATTCTGAGAAAGATATTGATGGGTTAGAACAGCTTCAGAGGAAGGCTACAAATACACTAAACAAATGTGAGGCTATGTTCTATAAGGATAGGCTGAAGGAAGCTGTTTTGACCTAGGCTTCCCCAAAAAGCACAAGGCAGAGTCCAACAAAACCCCTTTAATTAAACAAATGTGAATTCTTCTCATTCATATTCAGCAAGGCCCGGCAAATAATCTTTCAAAGGAATATTTATGACTACAGACTTATCTATTTTGGAAAGCTGCCATGTAAATATTTTCCAAATGAGACGCTGTGCAAGGAAAGACTGGGCACAGAGTCTCTGAGATGCACCGACAGATCTTCACACTCCTGAAGCGAATCTAACAACTGACCGACTGAATTGTTTCCTGCAAAAGCCCACTCCCCTTTCACTCTGCTTTTATTTCCTATGGGAGGGGCCAATCATCTTCTACCTGTGAATTTACTCCTAAATCTACCCAGATTTCTGAGTTCTTTTTTTCTTCTGGCAGTTCTGCGCACACTGGAAACAGGCTCAAGCTGTTCCTCTGCCTCACTGCTGTCTAGCTCCTTAGGCCCCTCTGATGGAGACCCCTCGTCCAAGCCTTCCCCAGCCTCGAGGACTGGCACATTCTCCTCCCCAACCGCCTCATTGTCCGACTCTGTTGCCAGCTCTGCTAGCTGCTGGTGGGTCATTACAGAAGTTAGGATTTTTAGGCTAGAGAAAAGAAAACTGAGGGGAGTCATAATATCAATGTTTGGATGTACCGTATAAAAGGATACCATACAGGAGTTGATCATAAACAATTTCCTGTTGTTACAGAAACCAGGATCATAATAAGTATAATTTGCATGCATAGATCTTCTTAAATATACGATAAAACTTCCTGATGGTAAATGTGTGTAATAATGAAATAGTCTATGTGTCTGGACAATTACCTCTTGAGGATGATTTAAATTTGGTTTTCTTCCATATCCTAGAAGATTGGATTAGATTATCTTTATAGCCCTCTCCAACTCAGTGGAGGTCTGGAAAGTGTGATATTCATAGCTTTTGTATTTTTTCTGTTTTCTTTTTCCTGATTCTATTGCTTTTCTGACTATAGAAAATTCTTTATTGGTTTTCTGATTGGTTCTTTTTTTTTTAAATCCACATGTTTTAAATTATATGTATTATGTAATTTAGATTAAATTAAATTATTATTTAAACTACATGCATTTTTCATTCATATGAAAGCGATACTGGCAATATATAAATTTTCAAAATGGAAAGAAGAGAGAAGCTTCTTTGGACAGCTTTTTACCTCTGTGCAATTGATGATAAATCCATAGACCAGAAGACGCTCGTGGTTAAATAGAGCACATATCTGAGAAGGGGTAAAAGTAAGGTCATAATTATCTGCTTGATAAGTCTGCCATTCAATGGAAATAGAACTGCATTGTGGAGAAAACATTCTAGTTGTCTGGCTTTTCACCTGCATAGAGATAGAAACAGAAAATTAGTATTTGTTCCATTGGTTAAATCATTTTACATAGAGTAGTACAACAAACTAGACCAAATATGAAGAAGTGCTGTCTTACAGGGAATTTCATCATGTGATTTAACCACATCCATATTTTTTTAATTAATTAGTCTAGAGTTTTGAACTTGATAACATGAATTGTAAAAAGTGGAAAGGGCTAAAAATATTTTTCCCAGAGAGTCCTTTGATGCTCTTTTGATTGATTGCCGATGTTTTGTTATCTGGTTATGTAACATGTCTAGTTTAATAGAAAGAAGGACTAGGGGAGACATGATAGCGGTGTTCCAATATCTCAGGGGTTGCCACAAAGAAGAGGGAGTCAAACTATTCTTCAAAGCTCCTGAGTGTAGAAGAAGCAATGGGTGGAAACTAATCAAGGAGAGAAGCAACTTAGAACTGTGGAGACATTTCCTGACTGTTACAATTAATCAGTGGAACAGCTTGCCTCCAGAAGTTGTGAGTGCCCCAACACTGGAGGTCTTTAAGAAGATGTTGGATAGCCATTTGTCTGAAATGATATAGGGTTTCCTGCCTAAGCAGGGGGTTGGACTAGAAGATCTCCAAGGTCCCTTCCAACTCTGCTATTGTATAAGATTGTATTTCAGTGCTAGAAGGGAGTGGGGTTTGCTTCTTATTAACATAAGAATAGCTTGCTATCAGTGTTCATGGGGATAGAATAGAATTCTTTATTGGCCAAGTGCGACTGAACACCCAAGGAATTTGTCTTTGGTGCATAAGCTCTCAGTGTACATAAATAGTCAATATACATCCGTCAAGAATCATAAGGTACAGCAGTTAATGATAGTTATAGGGTACAAATAAGCATGTGGTTTTCTTCTTAATTGGGGTAATATTTCATCTTAATTGGGGTAATATTTGTCTGTTTGTCTCCTTGGTAGTTCCTTGATTATTGTTTTCTGTTTGATTGCCTGGTGAAATCTCTTATTATCTGCGTATTGATTGTTGGTGAGGAGCTGTGATTTTGTTTGTTTTTTTCCTTTTTAGGTTTTTTATTGTATCTTTTGAATGTTGCGTAAATGTTGTTTATTTCCATGTACCTGTTGATAGCTGATTTGTGCCAAACTTCCAGGAACTCTGTAGCATTTTTTGATTTAGCTTCATCTCTCAGTTTCCCAGTTGGAGCTACAGTTAAGTCTGTCTAGGTGTTATGAAATTAAGGAGTTTTCATCATGCCTTCTGACTGCTAGCTGGTGTTTGCCATTTGTATAAGTCTATGGAGATTCTCAGCCATCCGGGTCACGGTTATCCCAAAGGTGCTTTTTCAAGAGACAACAGGACTTTCTGGTTTTTCTTTGAAGACATTTCGCTTCTCATCCGAGAAGCTTCTTCAGCTCTGACTGGATGGTGGGGAATGGAAAGATTTACATTCCTTGAAGATCTCTTGTCATTTGCATTCTTTTAGAGAGTTGTTGAGGCCACTTGGAGGTTCATCTCTGTCCTCAGAGTCACCTGAGCAGTGCAAATGGGTGTGGAGCCTTCTTGGCTGCAGGATGTTTTCCACCCTGTGTCCCTTCACTGTTGAAGACAGGTACTGAAGTTCAGTTGTCTCCTGAAAAAGCACCTTTGGGATGCCATTTGTACACTTCACAATTGGCTTCTGACAAACAGATTCAATGGAAAAGACCAGTAAAGTCACAAGTCATGCTCACTGATGTCTAACTTAATGACCTTGTTGCTTAGTGAGTCCAAGCTGTGATCATTAAGTAAGGACTACCTATAGTGGGAAAAACCCTGGTGACAAAAAACAATTGTTTTCCCATCAAGAGATGTTTATTTTGTTGTACTCTTTTTTCTTGTAGCTTTAGATAGTACATATGGGGTTCTCCTGTCATCTTACACCCACAACAACTGTGTGAAAGAGGCTGGGCTGAACTGCAATAGAGTAATAACATCTTGGTGCTTTGCAATTGTTTTTTTTAAATAAGAAATGCTAATATTATTTTCAAACAATGATACAAATACACTTAACAATGTAGAAATGTAAAATTAGGATTGCAATTAATTTCATTCTTTTTTTCTTATTGCGTGACGAGGATTGATATATTGTTGCATTCTAGAGTTATACTATTCTAGATGGGACACTGCTGATTGGCAGGAAGAAGAGCAAGATTTAGCTTATGATGCCCCTGTCTGTTCTTGGACTTTGAAGGACCCACATTAAAATAATGGCAGGTTGCCTTCAAATTGTTCCGTAGAGACTAGGAAAAGAGAATATTGTACTATGGAAGTGCCCTGAAAAGTAACTAATAAGTATATTAAGTAATGTAACCCATTCCCCAGCTGATTGCTGCTTATAAAAAATACTAAAATATACTTGCCTTTTTCTCCCAGTTATATTTTGATTTCACATCGAAATATTCAAAAGCACCAGCTCCATAGTGGGATAAAGTTCTCAGCACGTGACGATTTGCTGTAGGACTAAGATGATTTGTAAAGATTTACAATATATAAAAGTCTGGAATAGAGACTCAAATCTGAGCAGGAAAACATGAATGTTATATGCCAGTGATGGCAAACCTTTTTTGTCTTGGGTGCCAAAAGCACACGCGCAGGTGCTATCACACACACTTGCATGCCCACCCCCATAATTTAATGCCCCCTGTGCCTTAGCCCTGTGCATGCGTGCTTGACAACCCCCCTCCCCCTTTCTTGGAGCCTGGGAAGGATGAAAATGGCCTCCCCTGCCCCCCCCAAACACTCTCCAGAGGCCGGAGATGGCCCATTTCCCTGAAGCCTCCAGAGGCTGAAAAACAGCCCAATGTGCAAACTGAAAGTCCATTCCTGAATGGACAGGGAAGCCTCCGGAGAGTGAAAAACTGCCAAAAATCAAGGGCAAAAATCAGCAGGCCAGCATGCGCTGGAGCTGACAAGGCAACGCCTCGCGTGCCTCAGAAATGGCTCCACACGTGCCATAGCTTCGCCATCATGGCTATATGCAATATATACTGGGCATAGTTACAGCGCTTTGTGTATTGCCTCACACTCCGCCCAGCAACATGATGTCACACTGGCCACATGATTGTGGAAATGTCTTCGGACAATGCTGGCTCAATGACCTTGAAACGGAAATGAGCCCTGCCCACTAAAGTTGGTCACAGCTAGCGGAATAAAATACGCAGGGACTCCTTTATGGTTACATTAGGGCACACATCAAATTTACTGTAAATTGTACTAGCATACGTTGAGCATCCAAAGAGTGGGAACAAAAAGGTCAGAAAAAACGGCAAGGATTAATGATATGTGAGACTGATCTTGTAGGTAGGAAAGAGAGCCACAGACTGGACAACTGGCAAGTGAAAAAGTTGTCAGCCACAGAAGGAATGATGACGTGGGAAGCATTTCAGAAGCGACCCCCCCCCCCACTACTTTTCTGGAGAGTAAAAGGAGAGGGGGGAGAGAAATACTTTCAGTCTTGCAAGATACTGTTAATGTAACCTTACAATGAAGATTGTATTCCTGGTTGTGCTTTTTGTCTGGACTACCAGACAGGGCTAATATAACTTCACCTATTTGTCTTATGTTAAAAGGGTGCTTTTGCCTATCTGTAAAATCTCTATTGTTGCCCTATAGAAGGGGGTCAAAATCAAGGACCGGGGCCTGGCCCATAGGATGCTTAGATCTGGTCCACGGGGCCATCCTGGAAACAGCAAAGGACCTGTCCATGGTGCTTCTGCCAGTGAAAATGGAGCTCGGGAGGGCTGCCCTTCACAACTCCATTTTCACTGGCAGAGGGTTGCAGGAGGCCGTCTCAGACATACACAGAGCTCGGGAGCCCGCTTTCGCTGGCAGAGCACTCGGGTCACCACAGGTGCCCCTGACATGAGTGATGTTGAGCTGGCCATGCCCACCCTGGCTCCCAGAGGTCAAACACAACCTTGATGTGGTCCTCAGTGAAATAGAGTTTCACTGAGGGCCCTATAGCAATGTTTCTCAACCTCAGCAACTTTTAAATGCATAGATTTCAATTCTCAGACTAGTTAGAGAATGCTGGCTAGAGAATTCTGGCAGCTGAATTCCACACATCTTAAAACTGTTGAGACAGAGGAACACTGCCCTATAATTTACCAGGTCAAATATGCTTTGTAATTCTGTTCGGATGTCAGTTTTCATCGACTTTGCACTTACCTTACTCCACATGTGAATATTCGGGTGTGCAGTGTATTTTTCTTCACCACCTCCAGGGTAACGTCTTCATACTGAATGTGTCCATCAGATATAAGAATAATATTGCGCTTGCTTTTAGTTGGGTAAAGCAAACTCAGATAATGCAGTACCTTCCATAAGTTTGACTCTCCCATTGTAGCTGTAGCTGACTAAAAATTAAAAATAGTTCAGTTCAGTTCAGTTCAGTTTATTAAACTTGTATGCCACCCTATTCCCAAAGGGACTCAGGGCGGCTAACAAACCGATAGGGAAAGGGAGGAATACAAAGAAAACAAAACAAGACAACAACAAAATACACAAAAACAAATTAAAAAACTCCTCAACAGCCACAACACTCTCTCATAAAAGCTAAATTAAATCTTCAAGTATATTGTCAACAGTAGGGAAAAATTGTTATAAATACATATTATTAATAACGGTTATGAGATCATATAATTGTGAATGTATATATGAAATTGATAAAATTATAATAATAATAAAAAAAAGCTAAATTAAATCTTCAAGTATATTGTCAACAGTAGGGAAAAATTGTTATAAATACATATTATTAATAACGGTTATGAGATCATATAATTGTGAATGTATATATGAAATTGATAAAATTATAATAATAATAAAAAAAAGCTAAATTAAGATCATCATCGTCCAGATGCGTCAAATCTCAAGTCCCATAACTGACCATAACTGAAAGTTTAGGATTGTAATTTTATGGAACTATATCCCAGCCTTGGGATACTAGACAATTGGTATTCCTTGTCTAATAATAAACTTACTGTGATAAATTCTTTCAAAGCTACAGAATCCATAGGAGAATCATCAAGATTGGAACAAAGTTCTACAAAATCTATAGAAGGGCAAAAAGTGTTACATATAATAATATATAAATAATATATATTTATTAGACATTAAGTTATCATAATTACAGATGTGAAATTCCATAATTCAGAAATAAATTTCATTGATAACATAGAGCTTAGTCCTGGGTAATTGTAGGATGATCAAATGATGATTCAAAAAATCTGCATGGACACTGGACAGACCTCTAAAGCACTGATTCTCAAACTACGGCCTGCGGGCTGGATACGGCCCACCAATGCAAAGTATCCCACTACACCACGGAGTGGTGGGATTCAGTCCTGCCCCCTGCCCTGACCTTCAACCTTATCTTGCAGCAAGCATCCACTCCAGTTGCACTTCTGGTTAATTATTTCACCAGCTGAGCTGCACTTCTGATCACACCGCTGCTGCCGAAGGTAAGGCTGAAGGGTGCTGAGGAGGGCCAGCTGACTGAGGGGTGATCTGGCCAGTGCAGTCACGTGATCCAGGGCCGGTGGGTGAGTAGGGAAGGGGATGCTGCTGGCTTGCAAAGCAGCTCTGCTGCCAGCTTGTAAAGTAGTGCTTTAAAAGTCTTTAAATATGCTGAGGACCCAGACTGTGGGGGCAATATGCTGACTCTGTAAACCGCTTAGAGAGGGCTGAAAGCCCTATGAAGCGGTATATAAGTCGAACTGCTATTGCTATTGCTTTAAAAACACCTTTCAGGATGTTTTTCACAGCCATATGATCCAGGGCCGGTGGGTGAGTAGGGAAGGGGCAAGTACAGCAAGAACAAAGGCAAAATGGACTGCTAAATTGGCCACACCCACCCAGTCACATGACCATCTAGTTACACCCACCCAGCTGGTCCATCCCCCAACAGTCTGATGTGAATTGATCCCGTTTAAAAAGTTTGAGGACCCCTGCTCTAAAGAATATATGGGTAGTCTTCAACTTATGACCGCAGTTGAGCCCAACATTTCTGTTGCTAAGCAAGACAGTTATTAAGTGACTTTTGTGGCCTTCTTGCCCCAATGGTTAAGTGAATCACTGCAGTTGTTAAGTTAGTAACATGGGTTGCTAAGTGAATCTGGCTTCCCCATTGACTGTGCTTGTCAGAAGGTTGCAAAAAGTGATCACTTGATCCCAGGACTCTGCGATCATGCCAGTTGCCAACCGTCCAAATTTTGATCATGTGACAATGGGGATACTGCAATTGTCATAAGCATGAAAAAAGGCATTTTTCTGAGGTAACTTTGAACGGTCACTAAATGAATTTTTGTAAGTTGAAGACTACCTATACCAAAGCAAAGAATAGAAAAGGTGACATAATTAATTCCATAAAGAAGTCTTACTTGTCCCAAATTTGAGTACACTTATTTTTCTTGTCAAATAACATGAGTTTAGAGCATGTAATGCAATCTCCTTGGCTTGCTGGATTGCTGAACCAGCCATGGAATTGGAGCAATCTAGGCAGATGACAGCTTCACCTTGGAGGCTTAAATGATCAAATGGAACTTCAAACTCTGGTTGAAATACAAGCATACAGGCCTAAAAGGAAGGAAATGGGGAAAAATATCAACCAAAAGCTCAGTGGTGGGTTGCGACCGGTACGTCCCGGTACGAGTGTCCCTGGGAACACCCGGTACCGTTCCGGTATGGTGCTCGGGAGGGTCTATCTGCCCGTCCGTGCTCCTTACTGGTATTTGAGCTCTTAGGCGCTTGCACCTCCGTGCATGGAGCGCACGGCACCTGTGTGACGCTCCGCTGAGCAGCTGGAACATTGAAGGAGGTAAGGACGCATGCGTGCCCTGCACTTGTGTGCTCGCATTCATGTGGTGGACGCCGGGCCCCGTTGCACCGTACCAGTTGCACCGGAATCCAGAACCCACCACTGAAAAGCATCCATCATAAATGACAAGCAGACGCCAGACAAGGCAGAAGACTCATCACAGGTCACAAAATCTGGCATTTGTTATTGTTCAGTGACAGACAAGTGATTTGTCAGAACTCTGGACTGTCACAAATTCAGCATCCTGAAAATCTCTCTGAATTCAGGAAGTCCTCAACTTACAACCACAATTGGGACTGGTTGTACCTCACTGTGGTTGCAAATTGAGGAACCGGATGACTAGACTTGAGTTTTTGACTGCTTTTATTGTGGTTGTTAAGTGAATCATGAGGTGGTAAATCCGAATCCACTCTCCCAAAGGAGTGTTTTTTTGCTAGGAAACCAGCAAAAATAAATAAATGCTGGAAACCAGCAGAAAGTATTGCAAATCACAATCGTTTAACCGTGGGTTGCTGCAACTGGTCGTAAATTGTATTGTATTTATTATATTTATTAGTTTGTCAAACATGTACAAGATAGCAGGTATAAATATAAACATGGATATAAATGAAAGAAATGAATACAACAAATAGATGGGGACCGTAGGACAGGGACTATATGAGCCAGTTGCCAAGTGCCCGAAACACAAACACATATAAAAGGACATATTTTATGATAGTTGGAAATGCTTTGCGAGCCATAAAGATCCTTTCCGAAGCTATTGTAAATCCAAATGGTCATTTAATGAATGAGTCAAATAACCAAGGATTGCTTGTATGCAATTGAACTAGGTAGTAGATGGAGGGCTGGTGGCTTAATGCTACTAACTAACGCTCTCTCACTTATTGTTGTATGCCAGCTGCTCAGGAATTCTTGGAGGGAATTAAACGCTTCTTGCAGATGGCACTGTATCCAAGCTGGACTTAGATTTTTCTAATCAGCAAAAAGCAAGCAGTACAGGTAGTCCTCAACTGACGACCGCAATGGAGCCCAGAATTTATGTTGCTAAGTGAGAAATTTGTTGAGTGAGTTTTGTCCAGTCTTAAGACTTTTCTTGCCACCTTTGTTAAGTGAATCACTGCAGTCGTTAAATTAGTAACATGGTTTCAAACCACTGACTTTGCTTGTCAGAAGGTGGAAAAAGAGGCTCACAGGATTCCGTGACATTCCGTGAACCAATTGTTAAGCATCCAAACATAAATCACGTAACCATCGGGATGCTGCAACAGTCATAAATGTGAAAAATGAGTCATTTTTTTCCATGCAGCAAAGAAAGTTCCTCTTTGCTCCTCTTTGACTTCTCAAACACACCCTGCAGATACATACAAAGTTTTAAAAGCAAAGACATACTTAATAAAATGTCCAGTTTGGTCCAGTTATATATCATGATATATTTTAAAATAATTTTAAAAAATCACCTCGCTCTCTTCATCTGGATGTTTTTCTACCCACATTCTGGGCAAATATACATCGCCAATCAAGATTTCCATCGAAAAGCCACTAGCATCCAATAAACTGCCTTCAGTTGTGGAAACCACTGCTTTGCAATCTGTTTTCTAAATTAAGGGAATATGCAAGAAAGAAAAAATTAAAAAATGCAGTAAGGCAACCTGAATTATTGCAACCTGATCTTTTCAGACATATCTGCCTAGCTACGGGCCCTAATAAAAGTGTATGAGCACAAAATCTTACAAAATAGGACTTTACAATCCTGAAATCTTGTCCTCTATTCTCTTTATACTTCTTCACCCACATACTTGATGAATAGGAATTATCTCTTTAGATTTTCATTTTTTTTTAAATTCTACAAACACTAGAGCAATGTTTTTCAAACAGTGTCTAGTTGATTAATGTGATGAGGTTCCAGAAGACAATAAGAGCAACTAAGAAAAAGTCGTTTGAACACAGCCAATTTTTTAATCACTGCAGCTGATTAAACTAACTACCCTTTTTATTATCAACTAGGAAATTTAATAACGGGTTCTGCAGCCTGAGAAAGTTTGAAAGCTTCTGCCCTAGAGGGCCCCACAAGGCTGTTGATATTTTTCTCTTGTGATAAGGTGATAATAATTTAGCAACAACATTCACAGTCTAACCTTGGAAGCAAAAGGAATTATTCTGGGAAGGCTGCCTAATACAAAACCCAGTGCAGTAGTGCCAGACAAGGATTTATTTTGATGAAATTGTGCAGAGCCTGGTTTCATGGTTTTTCAAGCTATTTATATGTTAATGTTGCATTAAGCAATGTACTTACCTTTATTTTAAGCTGATGTGTCCAACTACTAATGTTATTGATTTTGAAGGGCATTTCAATAGACATTTCTAAGCTGAACTCTCTGTCATAAGATAAAGAGAATTAACATACAGTTTAGGATGCAGCTAAGACATAACACAAACTTAGGTAAGTAGGAAGATTTTTTTTCTTAAAAAAATCAATTAAAGGACCCAGATATGAAAGATTAGCAGCCACATCATGTAACTGTTTATGTTTTGGAGAGACACTATGGGCTGCCGGCTAGACTAGAAAGATGAAAGTTGACAATGGTAAATCACTTCTATAATATACCAAGGAAAGTTAATGGAAGTTAAAGGATTTTAGGAAAGATACAGAATGTTAATAAATAGCTGAGATGCTCAGATAAATAATTAAGCAGATATCCCATTCAGAGAAACACATTTTGTGTTGCAATGAAAGGCAGGTTTTTTATATTTTTTCTCTTAGGAAAAAAAATCATTATTCAATCATTTAGTCAAACAGTTTGTCTATCTACCATTTTGTTACCCACTCACCAAGCTTTCAGAACAGGGGTGCCAAACTCAATTTCATTGAGGGCTGCATCAGAGTTGTGTTTGACCTCAGGGGGCCGGGGTGGCCAGCTTGAGATCACTTGTGGCGGGGGCACCTGTGGTGGCCTGAGTGCTCTGTCAGCGAAAACAGGCTTCCAAGCTCTGTTTTCAGCTGCGACGGCCTCCTGCAACTCTGTGCCATTTTTGCTGGCAGAGGCAATGCGTGCCAGTCCTTCACTGTTTCCAGGGCGGCCCTGCAGGCCAGATCTAAGCACCCCGCAGGCCAGATCCAGCCTATGGGCTTTGAGTTTGACACCCCTGCTTCAGAACAATCATATGATGAGTGCCACATCTCACGATGTTTCTGAATGTTAGAAAGGGTAGAAAGAAGCTCGAATCTTCGGGATGTGAGCTTCTTTTCTCCAGCTCACTGCTGGAGTTCTCTTTTGCCCAAGGGGTGGCGGGAAACTCCAATATTGGGCTGGATAAAAGTTTGAATCCTGAAGATCTTTCTTTCTCCAGCCCCCACAAGTCCTCTCTCTCCCAAGTACATGGAGGAGATTGGGAATCATTTTGCAGGAGGCAGCAGCTTGTAACTTTTTCTGCTGGCTTCCCCACTGACTTTTTGGAGAAGCCAGCAGAGAAGATTACAATCACATGATCATAGAATGCTTGACAAACAGTCATAGGTGTGAAGAGATTGCCAAGCACCTGAAATGTGATCATTGACTGCAGGGGTGTCACAACAATGATAACTTTAAGGATAGGTCATAAATAATATTTCCTGAGTCCCTAGTAACCTTGAGGATTACCTCTATCTAAGTTTTAACGTGCAAATAAGAACACTGTGGCAGTTTACTAACTCACCTTTTTGCTTCTGTTTGTCTAATGCAAATTTTCCTTACTGAGTCCTGGTCAAAAGACAAAGATATGAAACATCACGCTCTGGAAGATAACATTTATCTTGGCAAGGGTATTTTAGTATAACTTTTTCCTTCTTTTATTGATTACTTTGGATTTTCCAATACAAGAGAGAGTTACCAGAAAAGCTGATATTCAATACATATGGCAACCCTAAAGCCTCAAAGTTTACATTAAATAAATCAATAAATTACCGTACATTTTTAGGACTTCTTCAAAGTCACATTCCTCCTGTTAAGCATATTAAATCCATAACAAAGTAAACTACTATAAAGATAATTTGCTTGTGGTTATAACCGCAAACCATTTCATTAAGCACAGTAAGGCTCATAGTTTTGACACTTTATAGCAGTCAACCAGAGGTGGGTTCCTATTGGTTTGGCCCAGTTTGGCCAAACTGGCAGTAACTTGGCAATCTGGGTCGCTGAAACCGGCAGCAAGCCAGGCCTGTCACACCCCCAAACAGGTTCTCCTATGGCGGCACCATTTTTATTTTTGGTTCTGCGCATGCACAGAACAATTTTCATTGCAGAAATGTATCCCTCCCCTTTTAATGTTTTGCGCATGCGCAGACCTTTTTTTGGTGCAAATGCGCATGTGCAATTTTTTCCGCACCGAACCGGCAGTAATCCCGGCAACAACCCACTCCTGCAGTCAACCATGTCTCCTTCAGCTGTCTTAAAAGAAGAATAAATGAGGCATTTCATTAAACTAGAAGCTCATTAGCAAAATTAATTAGCAACATCTTAGTAAAAGCATACCGACCTGTGTGTTTTCATTTAATGCTTTGTCTTGTTGCCAAGGAGCTACAGCAGCTGGCAAGTGAAAGCAAAGATTCCCATTTTCGTAACTGAGCTCCGTGATGTAGGTGATCTTGATGAGCACTTTTGTTGAAGGCGGCAAGTTTCCAACCGAAACAGTAAAAATGTCCTATGAAATAATGTTTCAATTGCTTACAAAAATATGATCTTACAAACAATAGTGCAGGCAATAATACTGGGCAATAAATGTTATTAATGAAATGTAGTTTAAGCATAACTGTCAGGGTTCCAAATAGCATCCTCAATAAAATAAGAGTCCAAGGCTAGAGATTCCTCAAAGTTCCAGTTTATTAGAAGAGCCATGTTGGCACATCTGGGAAAACCCGAATCTGAGAGCTTTCTGGTTTTCCTCACCCAGTCAAAAGTTCAAGACTGTGCCCAGCACCCACATGTCCATCACATGGTCCAATCAGTCACTGTCCCACAACGAGATTCCTCGTTGTGGGACAGCGAGATTCCTCATTGCGGGACAGGGAGGTTCCCCTCCAGGTGCCAAGGCAAATGACCTTGACTTTCTGAGAAAGAATATTATTTTGACCATACAGCTCTTATGCCCCACACAATTCTCCCCTCCCGGTTTCCCACAGTAGAACATGTGGCAGGCTTGAGGCCCACTGTAAAAGATGGCATCCAAGCCTGACAATACCTTTGCAAGCAAAAGGCCTTTTGGTTTAATCCCTGACATCTTAATGTAGGGCAGAGGAAGATCTATTTCTGAAAACCTGGAGAGCTGTTGCTATTAGCTGGCCACTGATACCCTAGAAAACAGGTGTCAAACTCGACACGTCACTTTGTCATCATATGATGTTTTGGGATGTTTCACAGAGCTGGGGTGGGCGTGGCCCGGCCATGACACATCTGGCCCGTTTGACACCCCTAAGCTAGAACAACCAACATTCTGCATGATATCCCATGTTGCACAGTTTGCTTAATTGTGCCTTACAATAAATATTTACATATGGCACGGGCCATAAACTCTTGTTTACAAACCCAAATGATCAAACCACAATGCTTTTGATTTGATATAAGGCAGCTTTCTTAATTTTAACCCTGAAATCTATTTAATGGCAAAGAAAAACATTACCAGGAATGACTTGCATCTTATTTTACATCGATGCAGAAGTTCAAGCTCATGTAGAGAATCAGGGCTGTGACTTCCAACTCTTTCTGAGGAATCTGCTGTATTATTTGAATTTTGGATCTATGCATGTAAAAGACTAAATAATGGCAACTGGAGCAAAGTTTATTAAACTGAGATGTTTCATTACTCATCCAACTAAGTTCTTCAGTCAAAATAACAATTTTTCATTAGGCATAGAAAGTTGTTGGAATGAATTGCATTTTGACTCAAGAAGTTGCTTAGATGAGTAACGAAACATCTCAGTTTAATCTCAGTTTAAACATCTCAGTTTAATAAACTTTGGTCCAGTTGCCATGATTTAACCTTTACATGCTTTTGGTCTGGATGATTGAGACTACATTTACATAATGTTGGATCTAGTGCTATAAACATGAAATATATGAAAATGTCCATATAATTGAGCATATATGCTATAACTCTGATGCCAATCCACATTTGCTTCGAATATATACAGTGTCATTGAACAGTTGTCCTTAACCAGAGAACAATACACTTACTCAATGTTTGCATCATCAGAACATTCTCAGAAAACAGACAATCACCATACAACAAAGGCACATTAACCGCACAACAGACAGTGACCAGATACATTGTAGTGCCTTGGGAGCTACTTAAGGAGCATAGAGAACAAAGCACAAAGGGAATGACTTCTATGAAGGCTTTTTCCTGTGGGCTTTGTGAAAACTGTATTTCAAAATAAAGTCCCTGTAATAACGCCAAATACTTCTTCATAAAATTGGATGTCTCAGAGTTTCTTCTGAACGTGTAGGCATATTCTTCTAGGAAGACATGTTGAGCAAGTAGATCTCCCAATAGTATATAGTTACTTATTTAAGGAAACGGTACAGAATCCGAGGAAGGTTCCCATGATATTATTTCCCTACTCTGGCAATAAACAAAATTTCTGTCTGTTCCAAAACCAGTGTTGCTATCTGTTGATTATTTGCTATAAGCAAAAAACCAGTTTATCTTACTCAACTTGGATACTCTTCTATCTTAATAACTGTCTATTGAATGGAACTAAATGTATACAGCTGTCCCATGATAATTCTTCTCCTAACCTCTACATCTAGATTATATACATATATAATCCCAGTAAGGGTATGGCTAGCTGATGAGAGCTAAATAGCTTGAAATAGATCTATACTAGTCTCCCTTTATTTATTTATCAGCACAAACACAACACACACACACACACACACACATATATCATTAAACATTATCCATTAACATTTCCTTGTTATTAGTTAACTAAAAGTTATTTACTATTTATATCACCTCTCCGCTCATCAGGTCCAAAAGAGATTATACCTTTATAGCAAAGATCTAAACAAGAATTTATTAATAAAATTTATAGGTCTTTTCCCTAAGTCCCAGTTTACAATTTATATCCAAGTTATTTTTGCTAATTAAGGTTATCATTTCATTAC